TCAGACAGTTTACTGCTAGCAATTCGTTGATAAAATCAGATGAGACAATTCAACGAATGCAGTGAAACAGCTATTGGACAAGCACAATGAAGAAACAATCGTTGAACAATGATTTGTGAATCTCCTCTGCTACCTCCTGGCACCCTCAAATATCACGCTGTGAGAGGTGTTCAGAGTTTACGAGCCATCAGCGCTGTTTCGTGCATCACCATGTTTAGTGGCACCATTCTAGGAAATTCAGCATTAAAGCCGACGGAAATATTTCTCACTGGAATTTCTACAGACACAGTGGCGATAAATACTTTGCCAGCTGATTGCAAGCTCATAACTACCGCTTGGGATTGCTTTTTGCTTTTCGCTGACAATTTAATAAGCTGCCCGAGAAAAACATTCATTGCTGTTTTAGACCACAATATTATTAAAATGCTCTGCAGGGAATTATTAAAAGACGATCTTCTTTCAAGAAAATTCATTTCTTCAGTTGAATTGAATATGCTCGCACAGGTGGATGTGACTTGTTATAGCGGGAGCAGTAAATTGCTCTCACGGACACGTTCCAAAGCGTCAGATGGAATTCCAGTTAAAAAGATGAGCAAAATATTCCTCTTTGGGAAATGCTGAAGACACAATGAAACGAACACATAAACGGCAATGAATGACGACAGTAAAATATCGTTTAGATGAGCTGATGAGTGATAAGTGGGAAGGTGATGTAAATGAGCAGCAATAAACTGCTCTTTCGTCTCATTTACAAGTTTGACAGGTTGCTTAGAAACAGCTGAAATCATTGATTGCTGTGAACATCACGCTCGAAATTAATTACACAGCCGTTGCAAGCACATATTTGCGTACAAATACCATTCGAAGCGAAAAGAATGCGAATGCGCAAAGTGATAAAAAATGGATAACCATTATCAACAAGTACAAACTATAGTATGGCATCCTTCGTAACACGTAACTTCACAACTTCACTAATGCATTTCAACGAAGATTTCAACCTCATATCATCGGGCAATTTCTGATCGTGTAACCAATCGATCGTCGATCGAAACAACAAATCAAAAATATTCCCAAAAACTCGAACAGGTTTTCACCAACAAATAAGTCGTTCACATTTTTGCGCTGTGCTCATTTTGATGAGAATATCGAAAGTGTATAATTTTTCATGCATTGCTCTATTCCCAATGGGAAGTTTCATCTTTATTGCATAACAAATTATCAGAACTATTGTATAATTCAAATAATGCGATTTCGATGGCATACAAAGCTAAATGGAACAGTACAGAAAAACTAAATACAATTTTTCCACTCCATTTATTCCCCCTTGAAATTCTCCTTCATCCATTCAAAATCACGAAAAATGCTCAACGAAAAGAAAGGTGAGGAATTGGCACAAATGATAAGAGGTTCGCTCTCGTTCATCGACTTGGGAATGTACAAAATGATAACGCTAATTGCAAGCAATCCGCGCTTATTCTGTATCTTGATGCTAGTCAACAACTATTTTGATGCGTCGAGGCGATATCAAAGCACCGATTGCAACGGAATCAGCTCGGCATCAATGGTTGTTTGATGCTTGCATTCAATCGAATGGCAAAGGTGTTTGATGAGCAAAGAAACTACTCGATCATCAACAACTGCTGACAGTGATCATGTTTTTTGGATGGTGAGAGCTTGTCGTTCGTGAATGTTTTCTGCACACTTCTCACTCACATTTTCACAAACCATACCCACAGTGTTCAGGTGCATCCTTTGGCAGGTCTAAATACTAGTTTTTAACGAATACTCAAAAAACGATGGATTTTTTAAGCAAAATATTATTTATCACGATGAAACGTTTGTCAGTTTTCTGACGTGCACTTAGCGCGTACGATTTTTGCCACATCTCATCTCTTTCATCTTGTTTGAATGAGCTCAGAATTCAGAATTTGATGCACGCGACAATATTTTAGAATCAATGATAGATAGATGATTATACACTGAAAAATTCAATAGATCAAGGGAGTTGACCTAGCTGTATCCAGTCAGAAATTCGCCCGGGTTTCTCCGAATAAATGGAGAGGGAATGTGACCGACCCATTCAACTGAATAAATGCATCAGAACTCTGTTGGATGTTTGTTGCTCATGACACGAGCAGAAAGCTGCTCATGCTTATTCGTCAATATTCGCTCGCTCACAAAAATGTAGTTGAGGTTGCTCGATCATCCAGCTTGAGGTTGCTCATGCTCACAAGTGCTATCATAGAATCAGCTCGTAATCACTAAGGGTGGCATGAATAACCAGAAAATAACGTTGGAATGTTGAGCAATATTCGGTTGAATGAACAAACGAAATTGTGCTGAAGATACACCTTTATGTGCATCAATGATCAATTTCGGCTTCGCGATCACCTGTGAACTAATCAATGAAAGTGCATCAGTCTTTTGTAAATGACCCACGATGAGCTTGCTCGTGCTCATTTAAGACAGTTGTTAGTTGATGTACTTTAAGAGTTCACTGAATCGATTTTAAGACATCTTTTCTCCAATTATTTTCGCCGTCGTATGTGTTTCCTTCCCTTTGCTACTTCTACATGTTTTTTATGGCTTCATTCTTTGTCGGATGGCTTTTTCGCGTGAGCAGCTGATGAGCGAGCGATGCATATGAAAATTTCTCATCGCAGTTTCTGCGCAATCATTGAGATTAAAACCGAAAGATTTGTAGCGAACCGTTCTGCGGAAAAATTTGTCTGCAAAACACTTCTCAGTAATCTGCTGTTAGTAGTTATCTGGCAGATTACTCAAAATACGTCGAGTAGCGTTATGTCCTCTCAGAGGTGTTCGTAAGCAATCACCCAAAGAGCGTCTCTATTGAATCTTCAGTCTTTCTCATTATGCTATTAGAAAGTTGCTGTTGCACGCTTCAACTGACTGAAACGTCAAAAAAAGTGTGAACAAACGAACGGTGTTGTCATGGTATCTCGTGCTCCATTCAGATGCTGCAAAGCATGGACACTGTTTATTTAACGGGCTTCTCTGGATTGCTGAATTGTTCAAATGCATTGAATAAACAATTATTTCAAGCGAAAATCCGTTTTAGTTTTCAATCCTTTTTACGAACTTCGTCAACAAGTTGCAAGCAAATTGCCATTTTTGCACAAAATAATAAAGCTTTGATTATCTAGCAGATTTATTTAGACTTCTCTTCATGACGGCAAGAATTAATGGGCATTCTATGTTTTGTGCTTAGCGTAGTTTCATTCGAATGAGCAGTGAACAAGTCCACATAAGGAAATCTTTCACTGGTACAGTACAAGAATTCATTCGCAATTCATTTTCTGTTCAAAACAACAACATCAATCGAGCACGAGCAATCTCATTCAATTAAGATGTAATGCCAACAAGTTCCTACTTGAATCACCGCAATCGCATTGCTATTCTGCCAGAAGCAGCAAAATTTTTGGCGAGCGGAACTATACTGAGAAAAGAAACAGTTGGTGACTTCGGCGACTTAGCAAAAATATTTTTGATGAGAACAGAATCATACAAAGTTCAGAACATTTATTTTTGAAGAGGCAGTGAGGAGGAAGATGCTCGTCCAATGATCACGCACAAAATCAAACATTTTACCGCCGTTATAGTCAGGTTCAATTTTAAGGGTGTCGACCACTTGTAGCATTCGATATAGTGGATCGTTCGTTGTCGTTTGTTGAATATTCAAACTTGGGTAATTAAACCTTTATCAACATGATAAAATAATGCGAGTGCATGATATATGGAACATCATAACATACATAAGCGAACGTTTTCTAAACATCATAGGTTGTATGGCAAACGATACATAGACAGATATTCGACTTGAAGGAATAAATTGAACAATAGGAGCATTATCTCTGATCACAAAATGGAATAGTTGTTCCAGCTTCATCCTTTGATACGTCAGGAAATAGGTGTGGTGATCTTCGATTCATGAGTTAACAAATGCCGAAGTTATCTGAATAACTTTGAACTTTAAGCATTTATAATGATGACCCATGAGGTGGTCGAATGTGTCCCCTTCATAAAGGTACTTTTGATATCCTTTAGTCGAGATTAGTGAGGGCAAACGATCTCCGAACACCGAGGTGGTTACTTCGCATAATTCATCGGCGTCGAGTTTCGATAATTTTTTTATACAATTGATATGATTTCTGATCAATCATGCGAGGGTTTGAAAAGTCGTAAAATGATGTTAATTAACTAATAATCTCTTCACAGAATGACTGAGTCGTCAATGTGTTGATGCAAATAACCAATACATCACAAGTATTTTCTGACAAACCTGCTGTTTGAAATGCAACGATCTCGTAGTGTCTCAGTATACCGAAGTATGCGAAAACTCATGCTCATGATGTGCTTGTAAATCCTTTTTGCTTTCTGCGTCCAACGTGAAACATTCGTCTGTTGGAATACCCTATAGAACGATACTCTATAAAGCTGCTCAATTCACGAATAAGATAGTACCATATGGCACAAAATCAATCAATTGTCATCACTTCAAGCTATAGTCGTACATATTTTACAGGGCTTGATTTCAACTCGATCGAAGCATCCAACGTTACACTTTCATTTACTTGTCAACGCTTCAAGTCGATTGGAATGAGTTCATTAATGGTTACAATTCCATCCATTATGCCTTATTTTCAAGTCAAATTCTTGCTCCGCACATTCTATCACAGCTTGAATAAACCCAGTTTTCAACCTAACACTAGTGGTTGTGGACAAGAAAAGTACACTCCATTCGATTGCCTCACTTGCGCAAAATGCATCAGTAAATTGATTAAATAAACGAAAAACGACACACACGTTCACGAACACTTTTTATTCCACTGACTGAATAAAACTTCAATGCATAAGTTTAATTAAAACGAAAAAATTCCGGTAGGTGGTATTCAATAAACAAATAGGAGTTTATGGAGTTGTGGTGGAAATGGAATCAATGAGATCAACATCAAAATTGTAAATGACAGATCAAATTCATTTCAATAGTAGATGCATCTGACACGATGATAAGGAACGTTCTTCTCGATTTCTGCAGCATGATCCCTTCTGTAGGTCCATAAAAACACATCGACATCAACTGCTGTTATCGTCCTCAGATGTGCATCAGCTTCTGTACGTAAACGCTTCGCCGCATCAACTATATCCTGAAAACAGAAAACTTGCTCACAATTTTGAGATTCCCTTGATTCCTAACATAACTTTCTGCGTTAACCATGAACTAACGGTGTTCATGTAACAACACATTCAACAGTGGATTAAATGATGAGCAGTCAACGAAACTTAGCGTAACTCTCGCAAATGCATTACCGAAACAGAGTTTGAAGAAAGTAAAGAGTGCTTGCAAGAAAGAGATGAACTTGGTGAATGTTCACTTACGTCACAAGCTTTAATCGAAAATGCACGCAATTCAATTTCTAGATTCGACCCGTTAGTGAGCAGCGGACTTAAGCGCAACGATTTCATCAGCTTCGGTGAATAGTGTAAAGCGCCGAGATAACCGAGTGCCTGTGGTACTCGATAATCAGCGAACATCGTCAATTCACTGAAAATATGTATATCTCTTCACAACGAGCACACTCCCGAATTCAAACACAACTGACTTATTAATACTCCATATTCATGCTTACTCACCGAATACTTAACAGTAGACCAATTCACAGTCATTATGCAACACAACATTGAAAACTTCTCGAACACCTTGAAAATGCAAATCGCAGATGGATTCATAGACAAGCAAATATTGTTCACTTCAGACGCAGACAGTAGTTTCAGTTCAGCACTGAGTAAATGCAATGCAGCAGTTTTTGAGTGCTATTATTATCATTGCATCACTAATGCTGTCATCGAAATTTTGTTGTTAATTTCGGATTGCGAACAAAAACTAAATTGTTTACGCTTAAATAAAAATGAATAATCTCACTGCGAGTGTGGAACAATGAAATGAAATAAAACTGGAATCTAACCCAATATCATAAAAACTTCCGATTTCGTTTTTATTCCTCAGACATCCATACACATCGGCGACCAGAATTTGAGCTCGTTTCAGGAAGGAACCTGCAAGTGACAAGACAAATAAGAAACTGGGACAGTGACAAAAAAGTATCCGAAATTCTGTGACTCTATATGGTAGAAATCATTTCCTTCAGCCGTGATCTCAAATAAGAGGTTGCAAGGTCGACGACGGCTAATTAAGAAGGCGATACATAAATATCAGCTCGCGATTCAACACAACCAACCACAAACATCAATGAAGTAACAGAACGGAAAATATGGAAGATGGACCTTTTTTGCCTTTATATTCGCAAAAATCGCGATAACTTTCGAAATTTTCAACAATTGTGTTCAAAAGTTTCACGGCGCTTTTACCACAACGTTCAACACAACGATAGAACGAACCGTCAAACTTCTATAATTCAGTTGACCAGAAAGATAACGAAAACTGCAACAACTAAAAACAACACTGCCAAGCGAGGGGGATTCAACGCATTATAATAAACTATCATCGATCATAACCCATCTCATGATAGCCTATCTCATCGCTGAGTGCAATATTCATATCCCCCAGTTGCCGGGTAGTTAAAATCGATTCTGATTCCTGCTGACAACATTTGTCTATTAATGTTGGTTTTCGTTGAGCAACGAACTTGTTTCTGGGATGAATTCGGTATGAAATGAAGACTGATGAAGAATTGGAATCAAATGATCGTATAATTTGTAACTTGTTTTTGATCGAATTATTTTACCAGTGCACAATATATTTCGCATCACAATGGAGATGATAAGTGGTTATGTGAGAGCATTTATGGCGTAGGCGTTTTGAAATGACGAATTACATCAGTCAAAGAAATGATCTCGAAACAACGATAGCCGAACGCCGTACCTCATTTAAGATTCGTCCAGCCTCTGCGATTACTTTTGTTCGTTCTTCAGCCATTGGAATGACAACACCTGTATTGAGTCTACTTAGGTTCGCGATATATGTCGCGATAGCTCAGTGCACGAAAGGAAACACAACCAAGAGACCGGGGATAACGAAACTAATGGAATTTTTTTTTAAGTTAGAACATTCATCATAATTATAGTCACTGAGTGTTCTAAACGCTTGGCTTATACGAAAAGGAAGTCAGAAGCATGGACACTGACGATGAAATACGGCAATTTCTCATATGCATAACATCGACGTATTTAATCAAATTTTTAGTGCAATAAATACGAATATACCCAATCTAAATTAACTAAGAGACTGGTGTAAAAATACTTGCAAACAATCCCATTGCCTTCAATCACGAACTGAAAGTGATTCTGCTTTTTGACTCTCACAATAGTGCATTAGAATGATGAATATTACATTTTGAGCAAATTATGTGAGGCATTAATCATGTCAGCAGTAGAAAAGTTTTCTTTTAACCATTTATGGCTTCATTTGGTTGATTTCTGACAGCCATGCTTTTATAGTGGGGAACTTATCGCCTCAACATGATTTTTTCACATAGAACGCGACCTTACTACCCTTCACTGCATCAGTAGTCATAAGTCGATATATCGGAATCCCCTAAGATTTAAAACTGTCATTTAACTCATCAAAAATTCCGAAAAACCAACGCTTGCTTCCAACATTGAATGAAACACTTCTTCGGACCGGATAAAATATGAAGTTGCAGTTCCACTGAATCGTCAATCAGTTTGACAAAAAGCGATTCTGTTAGTCACAAAAAGAGCTCAATGAAATAAATCTGTCTGTTTGAACAACTCATACAATTCAACGCGTGTATGAGTGTGCTTCTTCCATAAGGATTCTCCGTTAGGATTGAAAAATTCAAAGTTACCGTGGTCACTCGAAAAAATCTTTTGCACGTCTTTTAGTGTGATGTTTTGCATGTAGTGAGCACTAGTCAACGGAATTCCATTATCAATCGCACGGTTCACACATGCACAACCAGCAAAATAGCCCGTGTAAGGTTTGTCCTTATATGTAACAACGAACTTCGTGCCTTCTTCTGTCCAAAACGAGAAGTTTATTGTGTCCATCAGAAAAACCCTGTTGAACAACGAGCACTTGTGAGTAATGTATGAAAAGACCGATTCTGCGTCCGAACGAGATGAACAGCATTGAACAAATTCAAAAAGTCAGCAAACTTCAGTGATTTTGATCCATCCTCAGAAAAAAGGACGCAACAGGTATATTGAGCAGTTTCATACTCTAAATTTCATTGGCCATAGCACTGCTAATTACGAACGCATGTTCGTACCATCGCAGAAGATCTTTTCAAAGTGTTCTTATCAGACAGTACACGACCGTTTAGAACTGATCGTGAGATATAAAGTGCGAAAATCTTTTTACTCTCAAGCGAAATCTGATCACTTCGCCAACCCACCCACCAAACCGTTCATTGAACAAATCAATGAAATACCAATCAATAGCAGCTTGATCTGCCCCTTGAGGATGCAGCTCCTGGGCTTCAAAATCTGCGTGGTGCACTTCTCCACTACGCACCGCCTCGACAATCTTCAAACCAAAACATCAGTCGAAAGTTCAAAATTTGTAAGCAGAATTCATTTTCAACAAAATTTTTCATTGTTTTCAGCTCAAAAGTTTTTTTTTTTGAAAGGTCAAATCAATGAATTAAGCAATATCAAGCATCCTATTGCTTTTCGCACGAGGTTTCTGAAAGCCTACAAATAATTCTGATAGAAAAATAGAGCATGGAAACATACGAGTTTAGCCACAGATTCAACACCGTTTTTCGATATCTTAATCTCACCATCTGAATGATCGACCACATATTTGGCTGTTTCACGAGGATTCAAACGTCCTTTCTCGAACATCTCTTCTCTTACTCTCACCAAATACTCTAAAAACCCACATTTGGAAAGTCTGATTATGAGTTAACAAAAATGAAAGTGAATTCATATCATGCAGCTGATCGTGGAAGCGTTGACCTTAATGGTACATTCACCTAGAATGAACGATAACAATAACAATCAAACATCACTGCGGGTAGTTATTGAATCGAATCAAATTCATTTGCTTAATAGGTATGATCTCTGCTGATCACATCATTTTGAACAAAGCGTGAAATTTATGCTCGTAGATTCATCATTCAGTTTTTGGCAAATTGCTTTGCGGAGAGTCAAATGCCGAATCAAATTATTCGCATGAAGGGCGTCGTTTAGGTAAGAATATCGTTAAAATTAAAATCAAATAAATGTGACAAAGCGATAACATCAAACCAGTTCACATAGCCAACAGTGGTTTTGCTCACTTCTAGCAATGAAAGAGTGAAGATGGAAAATTTGATGAGTTATTTCACTGACTTTGTTAGTTAGTTGCATACTAACAAAGTCAATAAAATAACTCTTTGGAACACGGTTTGTACTGAACTGTCATTGCAAAAGTTCAGTGAGAGTTGTTAAAAGTGAGAACATAGCAGCTGGCATGGATATTAAATTAATCTCAAAACGGGTACTGCTAAGAACAATTGCGAAACAATAACGTGAGATGCTTGCTCAACGATGTGATGTGCCAACACGCCTTAAAGACGATGTAAGAAAAGAATGGTCAACCTTCGATGGTTCACAACAATATCTGCCGACTTCTATTACGATTGGGGAGTGTCGTCATAACGCAGTTTGCAATTGTAGTGTTGGGCGCAATAGATCAGTACTATTTGTTTGCTTGTGTTGTGAAATGAACGTGTCTGAAATGGTGAGCAATGGGAATTTGCTGCACTGCATAATAAAAGGGCGCAATGAACCAATCGCTGCTACTCACATCTCAAGTGAGCAAAGCGATAACAAGAACATGAGCAATTTCAATTGACAGATACTTTTCCAATGGTCTGATGATACTTTTCCATATTTCACACTTCATGCATTATGCATCTAATATGCAATCCCTCCAAATATATGTTTTAGAATTTGGCTGGACGATTCATCAATGCACTCTAAAGATGCTTTTCCTCGTCTACTGCGGATCCACTCGATGTCTTCATTCCTTCACCTCTTTGCATTCCGTCATTTGTTCAACATACAGCGTTCAACATGTTAGCTTCTAATCGCATTGTTTTACTTCACTTTCGTTTATTAGGAAATTTGTTTGGGTGACTTAATGCCATTCACATTAAAGCTGCATAATCTGCTATTATCATAATAATGATCATTAGTTCCATTACTGCTGTTATTACTATACATACTACATTCATTTACTTTCATTTCAATGAAATATTTTTAGCTGTTCTTTTTCCAGTAGCTGTTGTACAGTTATTTTTATTGTGCTGTCAATAATTTTGGTTTACCAATCGAATCAGAAAGAATTGTATTTAACAGCAAATGAAGTCATCAAAACATATGATCAAAACATTCGTAACGTCACAATTTAAGGACATCAGTTATCATTAATTTATACAACAAAAATTCGGGTAAGTTGAATAGCATTTGTAGAATCATTCGGATCAATCATCAAAATGTTAATAGGTTTTTTTGCACTGTTAACAATTGAGATGATATAATTTGAATGAATCGAAACGAGACGCAGAAAATTATTTAAAATGACAACATATCCACACGTTACATGTCTCAAAATACCGATATGGGGTGCGTAAAAAGCTAGAAAAGAGGGATGAAAGCATTAGCAAAACGTGTTGAAAAATACGACAAAGAGATAGATGATTTAGTCTAAAAACCTGCTTCCTGTTTGTTGAAATGGAACTAGGGTTTGCACGGGATCCCGAGATTACAGTTCTGATTCCGATCCCGGGATTTCGGGATTTGATAAAACAGGTCAATTTGTGTGAATTTTGATAATATGCCCATCCTGAAGCAAGCCTTAATCATTCCCATCTAATTTATATGCAGTTATCTTTGCTGTTTGCCCTCTATCATTGATGTTCAGCTAAGGAAATAGACGCAATTCGGACGAATGACATGATCAACGACAGCTCGATGAACTTTTACGTAGCATTTCATTGAATATTCAACTGATTATTCTGCTCTTCACTGGTTTGTATCACCCTCATCTGAATGCATTTTTATGTAATAGACTAACAGAGATAATCACATTTTCTAATAAAAACCAAGAGCAACAAAGTTCAATGAAATTTTGAGTCGTTTCCTCCCACAAGATTTGTTCGGCTTCAATATTCCATCTGTTAATTCAACTGCATGTTCCAAAGACTGCGAGTCTTTTTACTTCGCTATTTGGAAACGTTTTCATCCGATCGAAATGTACTTAATTCTCACTGAGTTCACTCATAGAGAATTCATTGCCAAAGTGAGCAGAGTTGTTCCATCCAAAAAAATCTTAAGCTTGAATATCGAGTACATTTGCATGATTTTTGATCGAAATTATCAAACATGTAAGTGCTCGATGGTTCGATAAAAATCCATTGCAGACGTTTTTTCACTTTTTAGATAAACTCTAAACTTTTAATTTTTCCAAAACTCGAATGATATAATTCATGCGATGCATTTTTTTGTAAAAAATCGAAATTTCTGAAATGGCAGAATTCAGTTGATATTAATGCTGAGAGAAAATGGAGTTAAAGCATTGCAAATAAGTGTTTGAAAATCAAGAATTTCATATTCACATGCAAGTGTACTGTTATTAGCTTACACCCGAGATGACAAGATGCCTTAGCATAGAATATGCAGTATGCCCTTGCGGCATGATCATTGGCATCATTATATGAAATTTTAATTTGAATTTGAATACTTAGTTCCTTGGATTTGTTCAATAATTTGTTAAATTAGCTCCTTTCTGATTAATAATGAACATATAGGTTCGAAAAAATGTCTTTAAACATGCCCCGCATCGATATTTCAATAATGTTCGACCTTGAAAAAAAAACTTCTACGTAAATGTTAGGCTGAAAAAACACTGACAGCCTTTTGCCACGTTCTGTTTCCAAATTTTTCATTATAAGCACGTAAAATGTGCCTATTTTGGGTGAAAAAAAAAAGAATTTTGATTTGAATCCCTGCCCAACCTACCTCATACCTCTTTCGTCACCCTCTCAACCCAATATCTACTCGGTACATATTCCCCCGTTATGAAGTCAACAAATTTCATCCAATCTCAAGCCAAATCGCACCCTTTCTCTACCTGGTTTAAACAAATCCAAATGAGTTCAATCCCACCCTCCCGTGATGGTTCTGTAGGTCAACATTACCGGAAAATGGTCCTTACCATCCAAGTCGCTCCCGAGAACACCAATGAAGTAGTTCATGGGTAATAGGATGAACTAGTGTTCGTCGGGGAGCAATTTTTTGCACGGGGGGGGTCCCCGCGGGGAGTAAATTGGACGGGGGGGGGG